AAATAACTACCCTATCATTTTAAAGTACGACTGTGTAGAAACCTCTCACCTATGTGTCTTATTCACGATGATTATCTCTGTTGAGACACTTCCTACAAGGAGAACTCACCCATGAGACAAGACAGGTTTTGATTCTACTTGGTAATTATGCGATTTACTTGAATACCAACCTCCTTTGAATTTTGCTGGTATCTCTCAGTGAGCAGACTTAAATCAACACGGAATGATGAGGCTCAGATTTCCAGAATTTGACAGTCTTTCTGAACAGCAGTATTCGGAAGGCCCCCTATCACCAAACTGTTCACATATCTCATAGTATCAAATATACGACCAGATGGCTGAGTTAAAAGGAGAGTGTTGTTGGAGAAAGTTCATCTGTCCTGACATGGATTGGCCACTAGAGGATTAATCTCCACATGAGAGGGTCAAAAGGAAAATGTCATCAATCAAAGGAAGCCATGCATCATGTCGAACATCCTTTAGCGTGTAAAACATTTTCGGTTACACATCCTTGAGTTTAGGGGATGTGTCGGAATGCACAGACAAGGTGTTTGAAAGGGAGGGGATCTCAAAACTGAAGAGAAGTTCTGGGGAGAGATGTGAAAGGAGTCCATTCTGGGAGGGAGCCATTGATCGCCCCATGAATAGAGGAGGAAACAGGAAAGAAGAACTATGGGGATGAGTAGACCTAAGCATCTTCAATGACTGAAGGAGAATGCAAAAGTCCTCTGAAAAGTTGTCTGCTTTCAACAACAGAGACAACAGCACAAGACATGGCTCAGTGGGCAGATGTGTCTGCTGCACACACATGGGGGACCGAGTCTGGATCCCAGCACCCATGTCAAAAGCCAAGTGTGTGTCACGTCACACTAGCCTGTAACCCCAGCACAGCAGGAGGCAGAGACAATAGGGTCCCTGAGACTTGCTGGCTGCCAACCTAACTCCATGCTTCAGAAGAGAGTGACAGAGCAGGACGTCTGACCCCCCTCTCTGGCCTACACATGTGCATGTATACATATGTGTAGTGGGTAGCCATTCCAGCTTTAGTCTGGGAGTTCCAACCCCCATTGAGGCTTTGGTAACTATCACGCCTACAAGGCGGGGCCAAGGGAGGGCCCTGAGGACCCAAGATTGGGATGTGCCACTGCTGGAAACCCAGATGCTAGAGGTGGACCGACAGAGCTCTCCAGAGAACATCACCGGACTATACTGCATCCTTGCCAGAACCCTCAGCCTACCTATCCCTTCATTTGTAAGTTATGCCATTAAATAAATCTCCTTTTAACTATGTGGAGTGGCCTAAATAATTTCACCAATACATATGTGTGAATATATACCATTTCATTCACACACATACTCTGTTAATGTGCAAGCACATGCACTCATACTTCTCTCTCTCTCTCTCTCTCTCATGTGTGGCCTTCTGTTCCCTCTCCCACCTTGGAGATTTCTAGTAATGGTCAGTGGAGTTATGAACACAGGGCTCCACATCCCCCTAGCTCCCTCCTAGAGCTGTGGTTTCTGCTTGAGATAGGTAGCCCCCCCTCCCATCTCTCATCCCACCCACCCGTGTACTTCAGAGTTCTAGTACAGGTGAGGTCCTCAGATTTCTCAGCTTCCTTCTTCCAGTCAGCCTCTACTCACAGAGCAGAAAACACACCCAAGATATGACCACGAAAGAAAGCTGGGCCCAAATCATCGTCACCTGAAGTCACTGATAAGCAAGAGGTTTCATTCTGAGGAGGATAAGCTAGGAGGCCAGTGATCATTTATATGCATGGCACTGTGTACAGACAAGAATGTTAATGTGATGGCGAACAGCATGTTTAGAGGATAAATGTACTCTGTTAGGCTTGTAAAAAAAAAAAAAACGAAGTTGTATTCAGCTGGAAAAAACCATGAGGAAGTTGCTACTACCTTGAATGTACATCTGGCCCAAGGTGAACCACTTCCTGGTACAGTTGGACTATTCTTAAAAATTGCTGATGGTTGCAAAATATTTCATTAACTCAGCTATCCCTACAAGGTAATGGGTCACAAGATTAAACAGAGTAACCACTAAGTTCTGCCTTTGTATGAAACGCTTGCTTGCTTGGATGGCTGAGACACCTGCTGCATATCTGTTACAAAATCAACACTTGCCCACACCCAGACAGGATATGAGTTAATTTGACTCCCCCAAATTATAAACTGATGATTTTTGCCTCTATAATCCTTTGGCTAACAATAGCAAGGGCCTTACCTAGAGAACTCTCTCTGGTTTGGTCCTGGATGGTCTCTTTTTAATAATGAGCCTCTAATTTACTAAAACCAAAATTTGAGTCAGACTGATGGTTCTCTGAATGGCCCCAGACCCACAAGAGCTTATCTGAGGAAAAGGCCACTGTATGCTCCCAGATGCACTGTACAGGCACAAAAGCTGTCCTCAGAGCATAATCAGGTTATAAAAATAGAAAATTACATGGCATTTCCTAAGGGGATGGAGATTATCTGGAATATAAAGCCACGAGGTTCATGCTTCAAGGTGACATTGAAGGTGGGATTTTTAGTGATATGCAGGAAGAAGATAAACAACCAGAATAAGAGCAGTGAGTAGATGGAAGAGAAGGTTGAGGTTTAACCCCGGGGAAAGGGATGGCTGAGAAATACCCCTCCATGAGTCTCTCCTGACCCACACAAATATCTAGTCCGAGGAGCATAATGTATCTGGATCCGATTGTGGAGTGATTGACGTCTCCATGATGGTGCCCCAAAGGCCAGAGCTAGCATCCAGCAGCTGGAAAAGAGTGAGAGCTGAGGGCAGTGTCAGCTCAGGCCGACTGGCCAGAGTTGATGGAGAGTCAGGTGGAGAGCTGAAAAAGAGGAGGCTGTGAAGACTGCGCCTGTCAAACTTTGACGATAGAGTAACTTACACATCCAAGAAGCTGGGCAGATGGGAAGAGACCCACCCCAAATGCTCCTTAGTGAAGATGCTGAGAGACAAGACAAAGGGGATGCTAACAGAGCAGGGGAAACTCAGGTGGATTCGGACTCAGCATCTAGATGGGTAGGCAAGTAGGTAGCAATTTTTAAAAGAGTGGGGAAATTAAATGTTACAATAGAGAACATTCCTTGGGTGAGGAAAAAACAATAAGGCCAAAAGAATTAAATACGGCACAGTGTACAGGGAGCAAAATGTACAAGATGGAAACCAAGTAGACTGATAACATGAAAAGTCCACTTAAAAGACAAAGACCACTCCCCTCCCCCCCCCAAAAAAAAACATCTATAAGAAACACTCAATCTCCAAGAATAGAAACTGAAGGTAAGTCCATGGAAACGTATGAACCGGGTAAGTAACAGCTCTAAGTGCTCTGGAATGTCCACACCAGCATCAGATAAGTAAACCTTAAGGCCAAAGGGAGTTACTACAGAGGAAGGGATCATGAAAAGAAAGCCTATTGGTGGGAGTTATAAATGCACAATCGTGTGCAGCAAGAGCTTAATGTAAAGGAAAGAAAACTCATGAAACAAGAATGCACTAAGAACACAGTTCAACTTGAATAGTGGTAGAGTTCCAGCAGCCAGCATGAAGCAGATCAACAGGGAAACAGAAGAGTGGGCCACACTGCCTGAGCAGCCTGAATCTTATGAACAAATTACCCAACAGAACGTCATCCTTTCCAAGCATGTCCCAAACACTCTTCAGAAAGAACCACATGTTACACCATAAAACCACTCTCAAAAAGGATGGAATAATATGGCGTGTGTTTTCTAACCACAGTGGAATGAAAATAGAACAACAACAACAAAAAAGAAACTTTAGGAAATTCACAAATTTGTGGAAATTAAACTTAGTCTGAAATAGTTAATGATTCAATGATAATAGAAAATATTTTAATATAAATAAATGTAAATATACAATATGCAAAAATCCTTAGACACAGAAAAACAAATACTTAAAATAGAATTTATAGCTATAAAAGCATAAAAAGAAGAAGATTCCACATCAGTAGATGCCAGAAAAAGCAACACAGTACCCACAGCTAAGTACGGCTCTCCCCCATCATCCAGGAAGCTTTCTTTCTACAGCAGACAGAGGCCATCACAGAAATCCATAACTGGTCAAAATGTAGAGAACAGTTGACTAGGGAATGTCAGTCCTCAATTGATATATTTACAACACAACCCCTACACATTCAGGAAACATCTTGTAAGAGGGGCCGGAACAATTGTAAAAGCCAGAGGACTTCCTCTATGAGATAGCGTCTTCTATATATGTGCCCATGAAGTCTCCTAAACAAGACCTGTGCATTGACAACAGCATCGTGGATGAGGTAGATCTTACAAGGCCTCCACCTAGATGAAGAGCTACAGACTATTAATGACTGTGCCATCCAAGGACAAGTCCCCAAACAGGTTACCCAATCTCAAGTAGCTAGCCCTAAAGGCATATACATGGAGGTTCAAGTATAAGACTGGATGGTCCCATTTCCTCAGACTTCCGGCAAGCATGGCAGATGGCCATAGACCTGTGTATAGAGCAAGCCTCATATCACAATCCAGGAAGCTCATAGAGAATGGACCAGTAGGGTTCCATAGTGCCCTCTAGGGTACCCTTCCAACTTCCAAGAGTCTTCAGCACCTCCCAGTACCACCACCCTGGGAATCAATCCTTCATATATGGACTGTTGAGAAACACACACCAAAAGAACTAATGGCTGCACATCTGTTCATTCCCAAAGACCAGGCTGAAAGATTAAAATGATGAGGTGTCATAGAAGGAGAAATAAGATCGGAACAAGTTATAGGCCTTCCTCTTGAATCTTTAAAAATGAACTTAATATTGGCAAAAGTGTTTTTCCTTCAGCTGATTTATACTTTTCAAAATAAAGGCATACAGAATGCTTTGGACATCCGGTTTTGTGTTTCATGCAATATTCTGGTCAAGAACATTAATGAAGAGAAATATTAACTTTTTCATTATGGAGAACAAGAATAATGAAATGCACATGAGGTACCTGTGGGCATCTGGCAGCACTGTAGCAGTCTCCAGCTGTGGCAAATGGGACTGCCTTTCCAAACAGTGTCTGGGAAAAAAGAAGATCTGTAGCTGTAAAAAACAAATACAACTCATTACCATGGAAACAGCAAGGTCTATTATTTTCAAATATGCAGTTTTCATAGTATCTTAAATATACTTATATGAGTAGTTAAATTTTCTAACAAAATATCACCTCTAAGAGCATATAATATAAAGCTGCCTCAAATGGATGCATTTTATTTAACACAAAAACATACACAGCCTATATTGTCCTAAAAAAATCACAGGTACATCTGGAATTAAAGAAAAATATGGAAAAACTAAACAAATGGTCATTCACATTTTACACCACTGCAAATCTCTGAACTAGATGGAGTGGGCTCATGAAGAAAACTCACAGAAAAACAAAAAATCTCTGCAAAGGTAGACCCACCATGGCAAAGCAGTGTGAGTGCACATGCTCTGTGTCTATACCAATTCACTGGTGCCGTCCTTTTCCTCTTCCGTTTGCTGACACTGTTAGCAAAATGTCCTGATTGGCAGTATCCCTGGAGAGAGTCTACACAAAATCCCAAAACTAGACTCGCTGGATCAGAGACAGGCTGGGCAAAATGCTCCAGCTCAGCTGTGGCCACTGCTCACATGTGCACTCGTCACTTACACAACCATGGTTGTCAGCTCTACAAAGTTAATTCAGGTCACTGACAGCACTGTGCACCCTTTGGTGACATGGGTCCTTTGGAGGCAGTCCCCCAAAGCAGAATGTGTGCAAATTATCTCTCATCTCTAAGGACAATTACGAAAATGATCAGACCTTTCATAATCCATCAGAGGAACTGGGTGCCCCTCTCAGGCCTCAGACAATGTGGCCATGGTGGTGAGCTTACATGTGGCGTGGGTGGAGTACGTATCACAGGGAACTGACAAACCGTACCAGTCGGAGCCATTCAGGAATAGGTAGCTATTAGATATGCATCCCTGTCCTATGCTTCTTTGTGGCACTATAGACAAGACTGGTGAAGAACACGGACAAAATTTCAAAGCGTAGTTTGCCATCTCCTCCAACAGCATGAGCAGTCCATGACACCCATTTCATAGTGGATAATCGGTAGTGTGTACATAGTCCACTTGCCTCTGATGAGTTCTAGCACATCAACTATTACTGGGCACCATTCCTTGGATTCTTTGCAGGTATATCTAACTTTATGTGCCCAAACTAAAATGCATTTATCTGTTTCTCTTCACTCATTATGCTAGCTTTGACTCTTATCATTTTACCTGAATTATTACATTTAATTCCTAGTCATTTCTATGGCTACAATTTGTTCTCCAGCACCCAGGTATTTTCTTCTTGCTTATGATTTCACTCCTACAGTTCCTATGGATTATAATAAAAATTCAATGGTGCATAGTAGTCCTCTCCTCTTATCTAAAGGACATGGCTTCAGGCCTCCCTCAGCTGCCCTTCTGTAGATAATACTGACCCTTATTGAAAAGCTGGAAGCTGAATCATGTCAGCTGAACACAAAGAATTCATTACCAGGTTTAGAGGAGGGAGACCACTGATGACTTTGATAAGGACTATGTCGGATGAGAAGGCATTAAGAAGCTACTTGAAGTAAGTTCAGGATAGGATAGGAAAGGAAAAGTGACAGAGAGAGGGGAAAGGGATAGTGTCTCATTTAAGAAATGTTACTATCAAGAAACACAGAGAAATAAGGTGTGGTGGCATGTGCCTTTAATCCTAGCACTCTGACAGAGGCAGGAAGATCTCTGAGTTCAAGGCCAACCTGGTCTACAAAGCAAGATCCAGGACAGCCAGAGCTACATAGAGAGACCCTGTCTTAAAAAAGGAGAGAGAGAGAAAGAGAGAGAGAGAGAGAGAGAGAGAGAGAGAGAGAGAGAGAGAGAGAGAGAGAGA